TATATATATATATATGTATATTTATCTGTAGATATATTTATGTATATATATATATGTATGTATATATATATATATATGTATACATGTATGTATGTATGTATATATATATATATATATTTGTGGATACACATGTATGTGTGTACATTTATACATCCATCCAACCCTACATCCATCCATCCATCCATCTATCCATTCATCCATCCGCCTATCCATGCACACAAATACACCTACAATCACAGGTTGTCTCAGGTAGATTGCACTTTCGGTTTGTTTAGTCAAGTGCATCGCTGTCTTGAAAACAATTTACTGATTGCAAGAAACTATGTGTGGAACAGTGTCAACCACGTCGCGCCCACCTTTTGTGGGTTATGTCAGTTTTTGAAACCATGTTGTCCACGAGAAATGCACCAAAATGAATAATTTCTTTTTGACCCACTACGTTCAAGTCTGTACAAGGCTCACTTGCGAGTATGCAACTGGCAGTGGTGTTGTGCTCGAGGACCTTCAGTATGATTTGAATGGTCTTCAAAGTCGTGAAACTATATTTAATGTATCCAATACCTTCACACATGGTGCATCCAGTTGTTAAAGAGACATGATTGATGCCATTTCATTGCTCATTGCAACAGATGCCTGTCCTTTCTTCAGACGACGACACTTCAGACGACGGCATTTTATCCTGGCCTTTTTAGAATTCTGCAATTGCAGGGAAGAAGGATTTACATGAATGTTTGCTGGCATGCATGAGGATTGTCAATTCTATCACGTGTGCAAGATTTCTGATCTGTTTCAAATCTCGTGCAAAACCTGCCACAAACCCACTGAAGATTTCTTGAAATTGTGCGATTTCTTGAAAAAAATCTAAAGGCAAGATGAGGCAAGATGAGGCAAGATGAGGCAAGATGAGGCAAGATGAGGCAAGATGAGGCAAGTAATTGTGCAAGTAAAGGAAAATGAGGAAAGTGAAAGGTGGAGCGCCAGGAAGTTGGCCATTTGCAAATCGCTGTTTTTTGGAAAGAACACCTGTCCAAAGTCCAAGAGTAGAAAACCACAGTTCAGCGAAATCCCAAATAGGTTTTGTTTTTGAACATTTTATACTATGCAGCACGGTCAAAAACTTTCAATGTTCCGGTGATGAAACTTGCTGGTGACTGTTCTAAGAAGTGACCCCTTTTGATGGTGAAATTAGCTGAGACAACAGCGTTGCTTCACCGCAGGAATATCCGCTTGCAAACTGTGAGGGCACTATGATGTCACGGATTCCCTTGGCAAAGCACCTTACTTGGCAAGGGGCTCTGAACTTCTTTAACGGCCACTTGGCTAAGATGAGAGCATTGAGAGTCCACACCTGTCTACTGTCCTCAGCAACCCCAAGCTGCCCAAAAACTTCCATTTTGAGTTCCAAGGACAATGCACGCCGACCGGAGATGGTTTGCCCGACATGTTAGGGAATAGTGACGTGGAGTCCACTGAGTCCGCCTTATTGTCATTGGAAGGTCTTGAGATGTCTTGGATTGTCTCGAGTATCTCCGTATATCTCCGTACATCTCCGTACTGTGTTGGGAGGTGTTTGGTGCGTTGAGCGCATTACTCTCCAAACCTTGAGATTTGCAGAAGACTGGCAAGACTTCTTGTTGCAAATTCATCAAATTTTTCCTTGTGACATAAACGGGCCAGACTTCAATCAAAGGAAGGAATGGTAGAAGATATAGTCCTTAGAACACATTTGCAGGCAAGTACATGTCCTTCAACAAACCTGCCGAATTCTTAGCTCAAAAAGCTGGAATGATTAGACAGATTCGCTTTGGTTCTGATTGTGCCAAGGGGGCTGATCAACAATTTCAAATATTTGGAAGATATTCCGATGATATTCCCATATCAGTTCAGTTGGCTGTCAAGACAGTCTTTTTGCTTTTGTACAGTCATGAACATCATTTGATCATAACAGTCTGGAAAGCCTTCCTGGAATTGTGGAGTGAGGAAATTCTTGCAGGCTCCTTGCACTGCATATCCTTGTTCTTGTTCTTGTTCGTGTTCAGCTGTTTTTCTCAGGTTGACTCGCATCCTGATTGCAGTGCGCAGGGTGCAGTTGATGTTGGTGAAGGCTCGAGAGCTGACGTGATAGGCTTGGCTTGGTTCCAACATGTTCCAACCATACGAGGAAAGGAAATAGTTGCCTCAACCTGCCAAAAGATCAAAGACAAGAGAAGAGGAGGGAAGTGGAGTCAGCACGAGTCAACCAGGGTCGTTGCCAAAGTCACCACAAAAAAGCGAGACAGGTGCTGATGTGGCATATGAGGAGAGATACTACATGCAGCTGCTTGGTCTCAAGCATTGATGATTTGATGTTGGGATTGGGACACCTTTTGTTTCCTGCCTGAGGTTCTACAATGATAACGGCTGCCGAAATCCGTATCAGGCTTGACACGACCGGCACTGCTCAATCAATTGAAAATATCGTAGTTGGTACATCTCTTTCCGCGCCTTGCATTAAAATTCCTTATTGAACTTCTTGCAATAATCTTGAATGTGCATAGGCTGGAAGTCTACATACTGTGAGACTTGCTCTTCTGTTTTCCGGTGGGCAGGTGACATCTACGAGCAACTCTTCAGCAGGGTTGGCGGCTACTTCATTTTTTGGTCGTACTGAATCGTACTCGTACATTTTGTACCAGCATACAGTGCCGTATAGCAAAAAAGGAATCAAAAAAGGAATCAGATGGCTGAAATTGGCTGAAGATCTCTGCGCATGCAACATATGCAACACACCCGAGGTACCTTCCAGTACAACAAGTACCAATGGAGAGTCTACAGAGGGTCACAGCATTGTTTGGACTACGTGGATGCTCCGCAGCTGCAGTGTGCCGTACGGAGAAGTACTCAAGTACTGTCAAGTAATATGAAGTAGACATGAGAAAATCATGAGAAGTTGTCTCGAACACTGGAGATCACTGGAGATCCAAGGCAAGTGAGCGTGACCCGAATTTCACTGCTGCAGTGACTCGGTCCAAAGTGCGACAAACAAATGCTTTGTAAATGCTTTTTTTTTTCAGTGGGGTGGTGTCGGTGGCGTCGTGTGGTTGCGCACGTGCCAATGGGTCGCACTGTGCGGCAGATTGAGTGACGGCAGCGACACCACGACACCAATGATCTCTGCCAGGTCATCAATTCAGACGTCAACAACTTCAAACTTATGTGTGGCAACATGGATGGCCTTGGCAATGGTGTATTGGTAGCTCAGCGTTATGTGGAGGTTGAGGTGTCCAGTCCCTCTTGCTAAGCAGGCTTTTGTCCAACATCAGTGAAGCCGAACAGGTAGGACTTGCAAAAATATCAGGAACGGAACATTCACACCAAGGCAGACTGTCCCGCAGGGCCTTCTTTGTCAGTTGTTGAGAGTCACTGAAATGTACACGGTAAATAGTCCGTGGTTTTGTTTGCGTGGCGTGGTGTCCAGATGCAACCAAAGGTGCCATTTGTACCTTTTGTATCCTTTTGTCATGGTACATACTTACAGTACCTGACAGCGCAGAAGCATCTTGGCAATTTTGATGGCTTCTGTCTCAGCAAAGGTCAGACGGCATCAAGGCAGTGTGTGCTCTGGAATATCTCAAGATGCAGTGTACTGGAGAGATTTGAAACATGGCAGCACAGAGGGAAAAGGATCTTCTAAGTCAGTCAAACATTTTCCAGAAAGTAATTCAGGTGGGTTCAGGTAGCATTCTCTTGGCACATTCTTGGCACTTTCCTCTGACTTTCTTTATGAAATTTATTTGTCCTTAATGAGCGGTGGTTTGCTGGGATCAGATGATATCTTACTGACGTACTATGAATAAGACGTAGTGATCAGACTTACTGTACTATTTACTGTTGGATCTTATTATTTGCTGCCCGACTCAAGGTTCTTTCCGATGAATCTGTACATGTTGCAAGATTTCTTCAATGGGGCTGCTTGGCTTTGCCCGCCCTTGATGCACTCCTGCACAGCTGTCAGATGTCAGGAATTTTTGTCGGATTACAACTATCCTGCAGCAGCATGTCTTCCAAGGAATGCGTTGCCTGGGGCAACATGTTCGTGAAGTTTGATGCCAGGTGGCAGTCAGTTTTCCATGTGCAAGTTGCTTTGATGCCCTATTTCTATATATTTAGCTGAGGTGCATCCAGCCATATACTCTTATACCAAACCTTATCCATCAATCCCGTCCAAACCAATCCTATCCTGCCCTATCCCACCCCATCCGACCAAGAGAAGAACCGCACCATACTGGACCAGAAAGCAGTACATGTCCACGTGACACGAAGGCATTGAAAGCAGTACATGTCCAGACGCTCAAGGCAGCCTTTCCGTGAGCTTCAGAGTGAACTGACATCCCAAGAAACAAATATCTGGCGCTTCCACCCTTCGAAAACAACTCAGTCTGGCTTTGCAGTCTTTGGACAAAGTCCTGTGTCCTGTGTCTTCTCAGTCCACTGTCAGTCCGATCCTCTTTGCGCGTCCAACTTTCTATGCCTTTCTCCAAATCACTTGTTTTGCGACAAGACGACAAAATAGCCAGGAAGCGCGCCAGGTCCTGTCTCTCCACTTTTGTTGCAGCGAAAGATAGGACAAAAACTGGAATGGTACTGTGGCCCATAAACCTGCATTCTGTTGCTTTCGACAGGGATGTGGTTTTTGGGTGGTGCAGGCACTCCTTGTATTTTTGTATACCAGAATATACCAGAGCAATGCAAGCTCTGTGCAAATGATAATGGACACTGGCCTTGTGCTCTGACCTGGTCGCACATAGTCGCATAGACCAACACCGGTCCAACCCCAAGTAATCAAGTGAAAAGGTGTCAGCAGAGTTGGAAAGAAGGTGAAGTCGACCCCACCATCCATAAATCAAGCTTCGTACCCCCTCGGCACCACCGCACCTAGAGAACAGGAACCCCACCCTGTGTTACTTTGACCGCTGCACAAAGGCGCTTGAGTACCTTGAATGTGTCGACTTGTGTCGATAGGTTGAACATAGTTGAGCAAGTGAGAAGCAAAAGAAGGAGCAGACGTACTCTCACGATAGACACTAGTTATACAAGCTTAAATCATTTTAAATCTATTGAATCTACAATCTACTTGATAGTGGTCAATATACTGCTTGGTAAAGGGATGACTAATTGCTTCAGTTTGGCAGCACTGAGGACAAACCGTGGAATTCGCTGCACTACCCTGACTGCTCACAGAATGCATGCAAATCTGGCTATTGCTCTGGAGGAGCGTTAAGTTGTCAAAGTGTTCGACGTACAATGCAACCTTAACTCGTTTGCTGTTTGCCTCTTGTTTTCTGGCTGTTTAGCACCAAAGACACCTGGATGGCTCTGGAGAGCTTGTTTATGTTTTTGCCTGGCTGCAGGACGACTTCAGCAAGAGTATACTGGTGCTTCCCCTTACACAGGAGATATCAGGACCCGAGTCAAATGGGCTCCTGAAAGAGTTTGAAGTGCTTCCGTGTGCTTCCTGGATTTGGACCCTCTTTGGAGAAAGCCAAGCTAGGTCCTTGTCCTTTCGACATCCTTGAACACTTGGCAGGACACCCATGACACAAGCACAGACCATTCCAAGCAATGCAGAGGCGGAGTGCAGTGTTGATTTGCAGTTATTTGACAGTGCTTCGACAGTGAACAAAAGACATAAATTTAAACTTTCATATCACTTTCATCCTTTTTCAACTTTCGGCAGATTTTCAGCCTTGCACACATTTGCACTGGACTGGGAGGCCGTGTGCCCTCGCATGCTCTTGCTCGCCCTTGTAGCACTTGCAGTGCGTCTTGGCTAAGTAGCGCTGCACTTGGAAAAGATTCAATTCTTGGACGTGTTCAACGTGTTCAAGCATGTGCCCGTGGCACAGCTATTCACCACATCTTGCTACAAATAGTTCACAGATTTCGAGCCAAACTCTATCTTCACTTAAAACAGCGAGCAGAACCATTCTGTAAGCCTCAACACTCCATTTTGTACCAAAACCCCATGAAACTGATGATGCGATCCCAAAAATCAGCGAGAGGCATCGTTTGAATCGATTTGGAGACCACTTGTTTCATCCCTTTCGTATTTGTTTGTCGTGCCTCTTTCTTTCTTTCTTTCTTTTTCTCTCTCTCTCTCTTTTCCATATATATTATTTCAATTTTATTTTATAATCATCTCTAGCCCTTTCGCTTTCTTCATCTTCTTCACCTTCTTTTCACTTTCTTCGCTTCTGCTCTCCGTCTGTGACACGCGTACCCATCGCCGCCACAACTGGTGTCATCATGCTGCCACCAGCGCCGCTTGGCACTACAAATTGACACGATCAGCGTTTTTCTCTCTGAACATTTCATACTTAAAAAAAGACCAAACATGCAAGACAAGCCTAGATAGGCACAATGAGCTTTGGCTTTGCAGACGGCCTCCAATCTAGAGGCTCAGTATAGCTCTCTCTACCAACAGAGGTCGCATCAAAAAATATTGTGGGAGTTCAATCCCGGCGCTGTACTTACACAAGAAAGAGAGAGGACAAGACCCACCCACGAAGTGGCCTTTTTTGCCTTCTCTGTGCAAGCCACTGGCATCTCACCTTTGGAAGGCAAGATTGCCAAGACAAGTCTCAAATGGCTCTTGTTCTTTTTCAACTTTTTCCCTCGTGTTGGATTGGAACACAGTTCGTCGCAGGTGGAGCAGAAGTTCATAGTGGAGCCTCTGAGAACCAGCTGAGATGTTGCAAGATCAGAACCAAAACACAAAAACTCTGGAAACGCCATGCCGGCCATGCCTTCCTTACCAATCTTACCAGCTTTGATCTGCGATGGTCGCCATTACACTGCACGATCTCATTGCTGGCACAAATATTGAAAAAGGTGAAAGCGATTCTCAGAATTCGACTGACCACGTGGCAAGGTGAGACTCTTTCGAAAACCTCACCCTTGCTGAGCAGCTTTGATAGGAGAAGTTTGCCCGGTGCTGGTCCCTTGACATCCCAAAATCAAAAAGTCAAGCTTGTCATTTCAATCTATTAGGATTGCAATAGTCTTGGATCCTACATGTTGCGGAACGCACCGGGAGACTTCTGAACGAAAATGAAGGCTTGAGCAAGTCAAGCTTGAACAAGCCTTTCAGAAAGTTGAATAGGAGGTCTTTGTGCTTGAAGTTCAAAGATAAAAAGTCGACACGCTACCCTCTGTTCATGCCGGTGTGTCCTTTGATGAAATTGCAACAGCTGGCTGGATGTGTTTTGCAGACAAAGGAGCTTGAAACCACAGACAGCATTTGCGACATGTGCAAATTGTTAGTATTTGTCAATTTGATCCGGGGAATTGTTTGTTTAGTGCTCTAGCTGATTTATTCGTTTTTGAAGCTTTTCCACCTGAAACCTGAGGCTGTACAAGTGGCAAAGGCAAAAGCAAAGCCTAGTAGTCTGGACCTTCAAGACGGGAATCTTGAGACCAAACTCAGCTCACATTTTGTTCAAAGACACATTTGGTAGCTTATCAGACTTATTAGCTTATTAACAACTACAGAGTAGCAATGACTGAAGATGGGTACCGAAACCTATACAGATCAAGAAATATGATACCTAATGATATCTCAGGATCCCGGCTCCCAGCAAGAAATTGAGGCTTCATGAAAGCACACGAGGGCTTGAGGGTAGCAAAACCGAAAGCGAGGAAGTGGGACTCAAAGGATAAAGGAGGGAAAGATAAACAAAAAGTGAGAAAGTACATGAAAGTATGGAATGAATGGCAAGAACAAATCCAGCTCCCTTTGCTTCTTGAAAACGCTACGCTGAGCCGCCGCTCCAGTTTGATCATCGCTTCGAACCTGTGCTTGCTGCTTGCACAAAGGCTTCCAAAACCTACAGCACCAGACAGCACCTGACAGCACCTGAAATACCTGAAATTTTTTGATTCCGCTTCTTGGCATCGGTCTTGGCATCGGTCTTGGATGGTCGATGTGAGGTGCAAAGATCACGAAGTGCGATGCAGAAGATGCCTGGCTACTTTGATAGTGCAAAAAGGGTGTGACCGCAGCGAGGAATTCCGCACAGTGAAAGAGATATCGTGATATCCATGCGATGTTCACATGTCCACGTGAGACACGGAGTCAATTTCGATGAGCGGTGGACTACGCAGGTCATTTCTGCGCGATTCGCCGAGAAGGCAGAGCATCAGCACCAATCTTAGGGAGCAATGCGAGCAATGTGATGCTCAAGTGGCCTTGAGAACGCAGATCCTGGCTTTCTGATGCTGATGCTTTCTGATGCTTTCTGATGCTTTCTGATGCTTTCTGATGCTTTCTGATGCTTTCTGATGCTTTCTGATGCTTTCTGATGCTTTCTGCAAAGATTCAAGTTAAGACGAGACAGAAATGTCAAATGTCCTACAGTGTATGCAAGGATTTGTCCCGCCACAGTCTGTGTCTATCACGTAATGTGACATGTCATTCTTGTATTCTGTGTGTATGGAACTTGAACTATCTATTAGTACGACCACCACACATCAAATTTGGTGTATTCTGTTGTAGCTGTCACAAATCCATTTTTATTGGATTCAATACTGGTATGGTGCGTTTATCCAAGACTCATCGCCTTCACTCGCAGGGGTCACTTTGTTGGAAAGGTTCAGCTTGTCTAGTTCAGGCTGTTAGATTTCTACAACGAGATGAAGGACGTTAGAGAGGCAACTCGCACTCAGGCGTGGAAGGAATAAGAATATCTCAGTAGACCTGACTTTGTGTACTGCAGGCATCTGTATGCCTTGTTGTATGATCATGTGCCAGATACGAAAAATTCCCTTTACTGCTGCATGGGAGCCAAGATTCCGCTCTTGATGTGCAAAAGAAAAGGACACAGTCTGGAACATTCAAAACTATTAGTGTGGCATGGTCGAGCTGGAACTCAAACTTGAAACAATCTGGAAAGTGGACAGAAGAGGCCTTTTGACCGAGGCAACTCGTGCCTGTCGCGCAGCCAGGAAGGCAAGAAAGCTCGAAAGCTCTGTACACTGTGTTGCACCGCAAGCTGTAACGAGCAGTGAGAAGCGAGTGCCAATTTCAAGCTGAGTTTCGTGATCAACAATGCCCTTCTTCCTCGCAACCCCAAAAGAGGACAACAATTCAGAGTAATATAAAACCAGGTATATAGAGCTTCCTGTGACTTTACGAAGCTTATTTTGGGTCAAACGTGCTGCATTTCAAGCACACTGCGACAATGCTGACATCTCCCAGCCAAGATTTTCACAAGCTTCACACATAGTGTTCCAGAGAACAAAGCAACGTGTTCTCATGGTACTCAAAAATGTATCTTTGCGGGTGAGTGCTCCAAGATCTACAAGACATTGCAAGCTGTAGGAAGCTGTAGGAAGCTGCCAACAATTGCAACACATTGCAACACTGCCATTGTAGCAACACTGCCATTGTAGCTAAGCAATTGCTGCAACAGCTAAACCAAAGTAGCTCTGAGGCGCCGCCCTAGCCTCACGTCAAGATTCGTCAAGATGGATGAACCTGAACCGCTCGCGCCAGATGTCGAGCTGACAGAGGCACAGCTTGGCACAACCCATCGGCAGAGAAGCGAGATACAGAATTTGTGAAAAAAATAATGATGATAATAACAACAATATACCAGTAGTACCGCACAAGGCGGTGGCGGAAGTTTCAAAAATAGGAAACCTATAGGAGAGGTTGGTTGTTGTGAATCACGGATGGCAGAGCGAATCCACTGATGGACCGAAAGGTGGTTGGAGTTGTGTTTTTTGGAGTGGTTGCAATGGTTGCAGTGGTCACCTCACCACAACTGCTGGATGTAGTGTGGTGTAGTGCAGTTGCAGTTGCAGTTGTAGTTGTAGGTGTAGCTGTAGTTGTAGTGTAGTGGAGTTGTAGTTGTAAGTTGTAGTTGTAATGTAGTGTAATTAGTGTAGTGTAGTGTTGTGTAATGTAGTGCAGTTGTATTTGTATTTGTAGCTGTAGCGTACTGCAGTGGAATTAGCGTAGCGCAGTGTAATGTAGTGAAGTTGTCATTGTAGCTGTGGTGGTGGTGGTGGTGGTGGTCGTCGTAGTAGTAGTAGTAGTAGCAGTAGTAGTAGCAGTAGTAGTAGTAGCAGTAGTAGTAGTAGTAGCAGTAGTAGCAGCAGTAGCAACAGTAGCAGCAGTAGCAGCAGTAGCAGCAGTAGCAGCAGTAGCAGCAGTAGCAGCAGTAGCAGAGGTAGCAGGCAGCAGGGGTAGCAGGCGTAGCAGGCAGCAGGCAGCAGGTAGGAGGTAGCAGGTAGTTGGTAGTCGGTAGTCGGTAGTAGGTACTGTAGTAGGTAGTAGGTAGTCAGTAGTCTGTAGTCGGTAGTCGGTAGTAGGTAGTAGGTAGTAGAGGTAGTAGGTGTAGTAGGTAGTAGGTGTAGTAGGTAGTAGGTAGTAGGTAGTAGGCAGTAGGCGGTAGGTAGTAGGTGGTAGGTGGTAGGTGGTAGTAGGTAGAAGGTAGTGGTGGTGGTGGTGGTGGTGGTAGTAGTAGTAGTAGGAGGAGGAGTAGTAGTAGTAGTAGTAGTTGTTGTTGTTGTTGTAGTTGTAGTTGTAGTTGTAGTAGTTGTTGTTGTTGCTGTTGTTGTTGTTGCTGTTGTTGTTGTTGTTGCTGTTGTTGTTGTTGTGGTGGTTGTCGTGGTCGTCGTGGTCGTCTTGGTCGTGGTCGTGGTCGTGGTTGCTGTCGCTGTCGCTGTCGTTGCTCTCGCTGTTGCAGTTGCTGTTGCAGTTGCTGTTGCTGCTGCTGTTACTGTTAGTGTTGTTGTTGTTGCTGTTGTTGTTGTTGTTGTGGTTGTCGTGGTCGTCGTGGTCGTCTTGGTCGTGGTCGTGGTCGTGGTTGCTGTCGCTGTCGCTGTCGTTGCTCTCGCTGTTGCAGTTGCTGTTGCTGTTGCTGTTGCTGCTGCTGTTACTGTTAGTGTTGTTGTTGTTGTTGTTGCTGTTGCTGTTGCTGTTGCTGTTGCTGTTGCTGTTGCTGTTGGTGTTGTTGTTGTTGTTGTTGTTGTTGTTGTTGTTGTTGTTGTTGTTGTTGTTGTTGTTGTTGTTGTTGTTTTTGTTGTTTGTTGTTTGTTGTTTGTTGTTTGTTGTTTGTTGTTTGTTGTTTGTTGTTGTTTGTTGTTTGTTGTTGGTTGTTGGTTGTTTGTTGTTGGTTGTTTGTTGTTGTTGTTGTTGTTGTGTAATTAGTGTAATTAGTGTAATTAGTGTAATTAGTGTAATTGGATGTAATTAGCGTAGGGTAGTGTAATTAGTGTTGTGCAATGTAGCGTAGTATATTATATTTGTATAGGTAGTAGTAGTAGTGTAGCGTGGTGGTAGTTGTAGTTGTAGTTGTCTATCTGTCTGTCTGTCTATCTATCCATCTATCTATCTGCAAGCTTGAAAACGAAGCTATTCTGCGGGACTTCCTCAATTTTCGAAGGTGGCAACATCAAAAACGAAGCAATTCTGTGAGACTTCCTTCAAAATGGAAAGTTGACCACTTTTTCGACAGCTCAACTTCCAAAAGTGCTCCGAACGTGAGGTGCTTTTAGTTTTTTCACTTGCAAATGCGCTTCGCGTCCTTTTCATCGCTCATCTGGCCAGATGGCTCCGCGCCCGCCGCTTTAGCGAGCCTACTTTTCAGCCCTCCGGAGCCACAAACCACTAGAAAAACACACTATTTGGCGACTTTCCTACCTTTTCGCTCACCTGCAGCTTCTTTCTTCTCGCTCTTTCTCTTCTCTAATCTTCTCTCTTCTGTTCTTCTCCTCTCTGACTCTTCCCACCTCTGCTTTGCCATCTGTCCATATTGTCGGAAGTTTGACTTCTAAACTTCCTTCGGTTAAAATTTAAACAAGTCTCCAAGACATTCAAACATGCCGCCAAACCATATTCCACTTTCATCTTACTAATTTCATGTAAACTTCCTACCTGCAAAAGGAAAGAGAAATGCCACTGACCCTATCCCATGGCCGTGTTGGGACTCTGGTTCGAAGACTTGACTTGATGATTAAACGATTGCGTTATCTACTGTATATGGTTTGGAACTGGTAAGATCATGGAACTTCTTTAAGTGAGCTCTCATTCCTTGCGAAAAACAGGAAGAGCAAGAAGAGCAAACACTGCTGCTGGAGGCGACAGTGATTCATATGTTCAGCTGTTACATTCCTTTGAAAAGAAGTGATACGATGCATCGAATTCGTGTAGAAATCATTGTGTCAGTTGCTCTAGTAGCTCTAACATGCTCTAACTGTGCAGTTGACACCTTTTGTGGGTCAACTTTGAAGTGACACCAACACAATCGCGGTTCATATCGAGGAAAACCAATCCAGAGTTGTGTCCAGATAGATGCGCGAATTTTTTCCGTACTGTACTACACAGATCTACACAGCACAATCTCCCTTCTGCGGATTTACAGGTTTGGGTAATGACAGTTTTTTGACAATGGCAGTGCGAAACTTGACATCCGAACAGTCTGCGAGGATGCTGTGGATCTTTCTGAAGCCGGCGACTTGCCCGGTGCTCTGAAAAAACTCACGGCAGCGATATGCAAAGGTTGGGCAACTCAGTTGTAGCTATGGCCCATGGCAATGATGATGCACCAGAGTGCTACCTGGCCATTTGAAAGGAAAATCATAGAATCTGATGGAATGTTTGGATGCGAGTGATTGCTAGTGACCATTACAAGAGGATAGCGGTGAAAGTTGGCACATTTTGGCACCCGGAACAAAGCTTGACATACGTTAATCTTGCGCAGTTACGTTGCGCAGCGAAGTGTCAATCCGGCTTTGAGGTAGTGCCTCATGTTTGATGTACTGTCGGAGGGCAGAAGTGTTATTGAGGCAGGACTCTTGGCCCGGGATCGCAGCAAGATGCAGCAAGTGCATGATATGACTCGAAGGAAGGCTGAAATTACCTGCCTCATGGCCTAGTGACCAGGTAGATCACCTACTACAGATGAGTATGTTTGAGAACTGTGGATACATGAAGTGTATGAGGAGTGCATGAAAAGTGTATGTCAGTATGTGAACTGTGACTGGGTTCACCGAGTTCTGCTTCAGCGACGGGGCTTCGTGCAGGCTCAAGCGCCCTCATGCGTCCATCCACGACTGTGCTGCCGGTTTGGCGTTGAAGTCAGACTCTGCAAAGGTCAGTGAAGCCGTTTTCAACTTTTTGACAACATGTTTGCAACGGACAATTGTTACTCAGTTGCGTGACTCAGTTGTGACAGATGAAACATGGCCGGGAGGAAGAGCATGATGTTTGCTCCCCATTGAAAGGCATTCAAGATAAGAGCCCGTGCGCATGCTCAGCTTGAGAACTGGAAGGAGGCCCTGAACCGAGAGTCCTCGAACATAGCCGGCAAATTTGCCATTCCAGTTTCACATTTTTTCACAGGATTTTCGGAGGATTTCAGAACCAATCCAGGACATTCCAAGCCACTTTTTCTCGCAACCTTCAGCCACTCCTTGGGCTCTCGCTCCTACTGTGGCACTTTGCATTGCTCCGCCCTGGGTTTGGTATGTTTGGTATGTTTAGTAGTACAAGACAATACAAGTCAATACAAGACACACAGTCCATGCGTGTGGATCACAAGAGGCACATGCAGATTTTCGAGAATCGTTGAGCATCGACTTCGACGAGGCAGGAGGATTTGCTCTCTCTCAGTGCACTGCGTACTGCGACCCTGTGACTCGCAGAATCCAAGACTGCAAGAAACTGCCATAAACTGCCATAGACTCGCCATAGACTCTTTAAAATGCTTTAAATGTGTTGACATATTTGACATGTGTTGAACTCACGACACATCACAAAGGCCATAGAAGAGGAAACCAAGATGGTGGAGTCCAAGCTGGCCAGAAAGGTGGGATCTGAGCACTGTTAAGAAGCGAAGTTCTTTTAAAATGCCATCTTGGACCGTTGGACATCTTCATTTTCAGAATTGTTGAGATGTACCTTTTGATCATGACATGTACCTTTGATATGTTTTGATCATCTTTGATCAGGATCTACAGCGCTGGGAAGTGGTTGGTGGCGCCGAAAAGGGTGGAGTAGTGGTGCGACAGGGAGTGGAGCTGAAATCCTCAGAGGCAGGGGCATGATATGGCATGATCTAATGAATCTAATGCAAACTTCAAAGCCAAAATAAACTCCATTTACTGAAATGCCGACTGAAGCTCCCTTTCAATTCATTTGAACAATTTTGAACCATTCCAAGCAGCACAGCTCCAGCTGTCCAAGTTTACCAAAAAATTGACAGGCTTCTTGCCGTCTCTCAACCGGAGCGATTGTGGAGGAACGAACAGACCAAAGAGCTGAACAGCCTGAACAGCCCATCTTGAACTGCAGTTTATGGTATTCATTTGGAAGCTGGAACCACATCTCACAGAACTTCTTGATTTTTTATAAATTGAAAATGAAAAGATATTCGCCTTCCGGAACAATCCAACAGAATCCTCCTTGCTGTCGTTGTTCCCCGCCTTTTCCCGGAGACTGCAAGATTGTTCGCAGCATGAGGAGTTGGAGTTGGTCGGAGAGCGCTTGAGATACCGTCGCCTGAGTGGCACAGGGCCAGATGAAGGACTGACGCTTGGGCCATGCTTCAAAATGTTTCAAGATGCATCAAGCTAAAGCGAAGAACACAAAGCATTGTGGAGACAGAAGATGACAGAAGATGACAGAAGCAATTGTGGATTTGAAATGATTTGAAGAAATTGTGGAAGGTTCTGGACGAATCTCATGGGTATGTCCAGGTTCTCCCAGGTTTTTCTTATCCGCTCTGACTCTTTTCCGAGAGGATGGATTAGCATCTCATTGAAAGACAAGGCATTTTTACTGAATTGCTTTTGACATGGAAGAGTCAAACTTTGCTACGTATTTGCATAAAAGGAATACAGCAAGTTGCAGATCTCCTTTCAGACTGGGCAGTCGTGCAGACATGACGGTTGAAATCAGTCAATATCAGTCAAGTTCGAAAGAGGAAACTGAAAAACGGAAAAACCGTGCACTGCATTTGCCTTCAATTTTTTCTTCAAATCGTTGAATTCAACTTGACTTCCCATCAGCACTGCATAGCACCAAGGTGTTGGCCTGCAGATTGTCGAGTGAGACTGTGGATTCCGTAGATGTGGAGGTGCCTGAGGGCTGAAAGTGTATCGGAACTCGTTTAACCTTCCAGGCGATGTTGCCATGTCTTGACGTTTTCTCGAAAAGCAAAAGTCTTTTCATTGCTTGACCTAAGACCATCTAAGACCTAAGATTCCGAAGATTCCTAAGGCAAACCAGGACGAGCCACCTTTCCCGGAGATGGCACCAGAGCACGTCCAGGCAGCTTTCAGCTTTACACTGCCAGCACCTTGCAGCACTTGATGATACGTCGGTGCCATATCAATGTGTACAGTGTATATACGTATATAGGATTATATAGGAGGTATATGGTGTATATATATATATATGTCTTTAATATTTGAGTATATCTATTGCAAATTATTATAATCATCTACATTTGTATCATCATATAACTATATAATAATATATAATAATCAATGAATCAATATCCATCAATTGATTCGCACTTCCGAGGATACCTCACCCCCGTCCTTGTCAGGAACTGGACGACCAGGCCCTCGACAAGCAACAGGAGTTGAAAGCAGCAAGCGCAGAACTGGCGGAAGAACAGAACTTTGAGCAGGCAATGAACAAATTGACCGAGGCGCTTTTGCTCCATTGCACTTGGAATATCTTGGAATGATGATTCGCCTTGATTCACAATGAAATCTTAAAAGTTTTAAAATACAGTTTGAAGTTGATAGCTTATACATGCTTATACAACATGATCATCTTTGGGACCAGGTCAAACACTATTCACAGGCTCAACGCAGAAAGAACACATTCCCTTGAGTTCCATCAACTCGGATCTGAAGGCCATCGCGATCGGATGCGCAACAGCGCTGATGTATGGCAGGTTCGAAATCCTGTTGTACGTGTATTGAACACACTTGAAGTGGAGTCAAACAGGTTTGGGAGAAGCAGCAGAGGATACGTAGGAGAAAACAACTTGAACATCTGGCAGCAAATCTTCCGTTCAGAGCAAGCATTCCCTTTGTTTAGAACAAGCTTTGCATGCAAATAATCCACATCATCACATTTACACTGCGCCAGTTCTACAGGTTTTCATAACTTATTTTCGATAAAGATTGTTAATGTTTCCATGCTTTTCTTTCATTCTTTTCTTTTGAACTGCATCGGAGTTCCATGACATGCGAGGCGCGCTGAGCTCTTGATGCGCTTGAACAGACCTCGAGCTGCACTGCAAGACTGCGGCCGGGCATTGGAGCCTAGAAGAGCCTAGAGAATATTCAGAATCAAACAGAATGGAATTATGTGGAATTCAACAGTTTTTTCAAGCCGTGGAATCAACAGAATCAAAATGAATCAAAGCACACTGAGTTGAGCACGCCGAGGCATTGGAGCTGAACCCGGACTCTGGCAAAGCAGCGACGACCCAGTGACGACTCATCCATTTCACACAGCAAACACCAGCCAAAACGCTGAGAAGAGTTCTTTCATGTTCTTTCATGTTCTTTCCATGTTCTTTCCATGTTTCCCTAACCCTGCTGTATTGATTCATTCTCAGTCACAAAGTCACAAAGCAAGGCCTACAAAACCAGGGCGCGGGCAAATGCGAAGCTGAAGCACTGGGCAGCAGCTCATGCTGATTTTCAGGCGCTCTTCGGAAAGAACAGGAACACGAGGGAACAAGGTGACATATGGTGACATTCCATTTTCCGAGTCATTGGTTCAATCGGCTGATTTCGATTTCGCTTGGGCAAGAACTCAAATCGTAAAGTTTGTCAAGCTTTAAGTACGGCTTGAAGGTCCCTGGTATTCCTTTTTCACTCTTCTGAATTAGTGTATGCCAAATGCATGCTTTGAAAGCAGTTCAGATATGTTCACAGAAGCAAAAACAACCAGAAACTTTGAAACATCCTTTTTCTCTTCCCCAGGAAGGGCTGAAGATAGACTATGACGATGCCACCTACGAGGAGTCATTGAGCGTTGCGGCCAAGATGAAGGCGGGTTTCATTTCGGCCTTCCAAATAAGACATCACAAGATCACCAGTTTTTCCCCAACAGCGTTAGCTTAAGGGTCTCAGCCCAGATAAAGGTTCGGTGCGCGGTGGTGTTCCAAGGATTTCCGGGTGGTTCTCGGGTGGTAGAATGTGGTGCGGTTCTGCAGGTTTTGGTGTGGGTTCCGGCGTGGGATGGGTCGCCCGTTGCCCAGGTTAAAACTTGATAAGATGTTCACTGGCTGCTGTCCCATTTTTCTACCACCTTCGCTGTTGGGGATATCACCTGGGCTTATTTTAAAGATGTTTATCGTTTTTTGGGCCAAGTCAGAAGTCAGTGGATGTGAAGGCACAACATGTGAAGGTTGGGTTCGGTTGCATCCAAAAGATTTACATTGACTTCTCAGCAGCGGCAGCCAGCTGAGAGTTTCCTGCACAACTGGGACAACATTTGGCCTGAGGAAATCACCGCTGTTGCCACAGCCCGCCGAGTCAAAGAGGAGGCAGACAAAGAGCGGAAGCAGGCAAAGAAGCTGCACGTTGCCTCAATCAATGTCTACCAATGGTCTAGTTCACAAATCAATGCCTTCCTCTTATATAGACTAGTCTTTCTCATGATATAATACAGCAAGACCCTGTGGTTTGCCCAGACCCCCAAAGAGCGTCCGAGCAAACCAACATGATGAAGATGACAACGATGACAACGATGACGATGACGACAATGATGACGACAATGACGATGACCACGATATGATGATGACGACGATGACGACGACGACGACGATCATGATGATGATGATGATGATGATGATGATGATGAAAATGACGAACATGATGAACATGTTATGGTTACTTGTTCCACGGGGGTGGGATATTTATTCAAACCCTTCAAATAAGCCTCATTGCAGTATGGTTAATTGATGCTAATTGTTCCATGTGGATGGGGCATCAGACCCTATGTAACCCCCAAAGACCCCAGTTGAAATATGTGAAACTTTTCCTTGGGTGTGGGAGTTTTCGTATTTGTAATTGTAAACCTTAAAAAGAAACAATCGTTGCGGTATGGTCAATTGTTCCATTTGCAGGTGCAGGGGTTTTGTATCTTCTGCAAACCTTACAAGAAACCCCAATAGCAGTACAGTTCTGTCGTCAAGCCGCAATGCAATGCTCACTTCGTCCAAACAATTTCATATCTTTTGTTTGAGGTCGGCAAAATTCTTTGGTTTTTACGCCATTCTGTTCAACTTCGGGGTCTGTGCAAAATAATAGGAGCCCTCATTTTCATCAATTTTGTTTCCAGCAGCATGAGGAACACGCGATCTTAATAGGTGGTGCAACCTGTTCAAGACAACATTTTGCAATCAACCCCTGTTCATTTTACCTATCATGTGCACAAGAGCATCACCGATTTCAATCTACCCGTTTTGCTTTGTACCTGAACGAACTCAGTTACTTCGGTGTTGGTTCTTTCTGCCGGACTGGTGGCAGAGGAATTGCCACAGACACAGAATCCACACTTGTGTCTTCATCCCTTTGTATCTTCTTTTCATGTCCCTTGATTTTTTTTGCTCCAAAGCTTCCATTCACAAGTTCGTTGGCCTCGTTGGCGTGTTCAGAGGCCAGGGAGCAGGAGCTGCGAGAGCAACGTGCTCGTCAGCAGCACGAGCAGCAGAAGGCGGAGGTGCGAACTTGTGCACAACTCTAAAATGTACACACACAATGCATGATAGCGTACGATCATAATATGAAATCTGAATTCGTATGATACGCCGCATGTGCTGCAGTAAAGGCAGAGAGACTGGGACAAGGAAGCATCAACCAGTCGGGCACATCAGAATTCAAACACTGCAGACACGATCGGTTGACCATGAGCGTTGAAACCAGAATAGCTCAATGTCCGTGGCTTGCTGAAGCAACACGTGCTGATCAAAAGACTCTCAGGCTTGTAGAGTCCTTATAGAGTCCCATTGTAGAGTGAGTGTAGATCACGCAACTTCTAAAGAGAGAACTGTGTGATTTGGCTTCCGGAGGCAGATGCAGCAAGAGCCAAGGAAGAGCAGGCAGCGGCGGCAAAAGCACAAGTACTCAATGATCCTTTGCTACGGGGCCTTCATCAACGTGCAAAGAAGAGACTTGACTGGTCAAACAGCTCTTAAAGTGAAACCGCTGTATGAGTCCATCTCAGTGCAAGCTCCAGTATCCCTTGACAAAACCACTTGCATAAAGCGAGACAGTTTGTCGACATTTGATCATAAACTTGATATGACTGGACCAGATCCCTTGTTCCAAGGAATGGTTTCTTGGACGTCAATGGAAGTTTACTTGCGTTGGGCAGCTGGCAGCAGAGTAATAGGTATGCAGAATGCACTCCGTACAGATGCAACACACACACACAAGCTCCTTTGCCACCATCCTGGTGGCCCTCAAGCGGTCACAGAGGTGACGATTTGCCCCCGGCGCGTCGACCGTGGTGCTGTTTCATTTTGCAATTTGGGCTGCCGCTGACCTTTTACACTGCCTTGCAATTTTTGATTTCATTTGAGGGAACCTTCACAAGCGAGCATTTATTTATTTTCTGCATAGCTCTACGACAGAGCTACCAGGGTGACCTGGAACCGGCAACACGACCACTGCTTTCTTGTGGTGGATCACCTGGTGTCAGTTTTTCTGGATATTCACATTTCCTCAGATTCCTGACGCTGGAACTGGCTCCTTGCCACTGACTGGGCCAAAACATCAACTTCAATTTTTGCTGACCAATAGAGATACTGGCGACCTGAATTTTTGGCACTCCGGGCTGCTGGCGATTGATCCACAGTTTTTTGCTGTAGGTTCTCTCCCCGTTGAGCCTGTTTTTTCCAAATATAATTCTTTTTCTGGGGTGGGCTCCCTTTTGCAACTGACTGGCCCTTTGACTGTACAACACCAACAGACAGCACCTTCATTTTTTGGGCTGCGTGTTTTGACACAGACTGCGTTCCTGCACTTGGGAGACACGCCACAAATCTGCGGAGTGGGCTTCCGTTCTTCATTTCCTGGCCCGGTGGTGTTTTCACAGCAACAACTTACATTACAGCGGTTCTCCCCATTCTGCAGGGTTGGCTCCTGTTTGGATTTCACTGGCCTGGTGGAGAACCCCCTGATTCCTTTTCACCTTCATTTCACGCTGTATTTTATTTACAGGTTGCAACAATACATCGATTTTTCAAGCCCTCCCCAATACATTGTGCCTCTTTACAGACAGTGCAATCCTGGACATCACCCACCAAACTGCAGGGTAGGCTCCTGTCAATTTTTCACTGGCCTGGTGGCTGATGTCTATGTTTTGGCACTGAGCAGAGTCCCAATCGTTTATCAACCTGTGCTGTGCACCTTGACAGAGACTGCGCAAGGCGATTGTGCAACACGAGAATCAACGACAGTTTTTCAGCAGAGATCTGTAACTTGCCCACCGAACTGCAGGGTAGGCTCCTGGTTTTTTCTGACTGGCCTGGTGGTGCAAGTTACGGCAGGAGTGGGCGTCCTTTCTGACCGTCCCTATTTGGACCTTACAGATTCTATTTGGGACTTTTGCACTCCTGCTACTGACAACCAGACCATTGCTTTCAGGGGGACGACTCCTGGCGACTGCTCCTCGTGGTTGTGCTTTTTGCTCTCATCGAACAACAAGCAGAACTGGGGGTGGGCTCCCCTGAACTTGCTGGCCTGTAATTTTCTTGGATTTTGCATTGCGCTGGTACAGACAGGTTCCTTCAATTGTTGGTGTGTCATTGCGATTTTTTCATTTGCGGCATTGGTGGCAATTCAATCCTTGATTCCAACACTGACGAAAGTTTTTGCTGCCACGACACTGACTTGCACTGTTTCAGCACTTCCAAAGCCGTGTTCCTCTGCGTATCTTGAGAGGGCTTCAACAGACAAACAACCTGGTGGCAAGCCTGGTCCCAAGTCCAGGCGTCAGCTCTCCTTTTGGTTTTGCACCTGTGCCTTGTTGGCTTGGCACGCCTTTATTCACATGGAGGCTGACAGGAGCGAGGGTTACATCCCATCCATGGGGGATGTTGGAACGTCCTATAACTGGACTGACCACCTCACATCATATGCAGACGTGAAGCAACATGGAACGCAGCCACCAATGCGCAACCGCGCACAAATTACGCCGAAACCCAAGCCACACCCCAAGGTGGTCAAAAGAAGTTTGCACCGTGCACAAAGGAGAGCACAAGCTCAAGGTATGACCTGGTACAGAGGCAGATGCATGCTACCAGATGATTTTCTTCGAATGGGTATGAAACCAATCACCGCTGTTTTGACACCACTGAAGCCTCCTGACGTCACCCACTGCCATTCACACAACGCGCCCAAAAAGCGCTTGCTTTGCGCAGCTTGGAACGGAGGGGGCCTTGCCAATCACAGACTGGACGAGTTGAAACTTTGGCTCCATACGCAGAGAATTCAGGTAGCGGTGATCTCAGAGACAAGATGGTCTTTTCAATCCACATGGAGTGACACAGCCTGGCATCATGTGCACAGCTCCGACCCCTCCAACCGTGGCTCGGGTGTGCTGATCCTTATTGCCAAAAGCCTTTGCAGTGCCGCCAATCTCAGATGGAATGAATTGGTCCCTGGCCGTTTAGTCCATGTCCGTCTCATGATGTCCACCCGCAACATTGACATCCTGGGGTGCTACCAACATGTGTTTACTAGGGACCCGACCTGCCTGCAGAAGCGCGAGACCTTTTGGAAAGCATTGGATAGCCTTCTCATGCAGCTACCTAATAGGAACACCATGGCCTTGCTAGGAGACATGAACTGCAGCCTGCCGCAGTCGCAGGGAATCTGCAGCACAGCCTGCTTCCGCTGGCAGAGCAAGATGGTCCCAGGTACCATCCACCCTGATGCCAATCGTTTTCTCGGTTTGATGAAACAGCATGGCCTGGTAGCTTTGAATACATGGGATTCCAGCCAGGGCCCTTCCTATGCATCCATCAGCGGGGTTAGTAGGATTGACTACATATGCACCCGCAAGCAATTGGCCGACGGGAAAGCACGAGACACCCAGTACCTCTGGGATGCACCTTTCCAACCGCTTCACCGGGTAGGTCATGCTGTACTGGTCGGTCATGTTGCGCTGTATTGGATCCCCTCGACACCGCAGCCATTTGGCCTAACTCCACACCAAAAATTGCAGGGAAGACTTGCCAAGATGACCAACAGTGCTACATGGCAGCAGTATGTGGCAACCATCGGACCTGACATATGCGGTCACCTGACCCAAGTCCTGACCTCAGATGCTGATGATCTCCTACATGTCCATGAATATGCACTGAAACAATTTTCACGTTTTTTCCCTGCAACCAGCCAAGTCACTTGCTTATCCCCATGGCAACAGAATCCCATCACAACCAACAAATGGACCCACCGAAAAATGCTCACCCAAATCCGAGGCCAATCAAACAGAGCTGTTTTCCGAGCATGGTTTCATGTTTGTAGATTCATGGCTCTCAACGGCCAGCATCGTAGGTTTGCCTATCACCTCCGCCGCATGAAGTTCGAAGAGCTCCTGCAAGAGGCCTGCCAAGCTGCCACGAAGCACGACACCCATAGGTTGTTTGACCTCATCAATAGACATTCCCCCAAAGCACCCAAAAGACGCCTGCAACTCCGTAATGAACAAGGCCACCCAATCACCCCATCGGAGGAAAGAAGCCTGTTAATTGCATTTGTCCGTGACACTTGGAGAGGGGATCCATTGCCCATGCCAGCACCTGGACCACCGACCGGTGTGCCCTTCACCATCCAGGACCTTGTGGCAGCGTTGAAACTGATCCCAACTGGGAAGGCTGTTGCTGCTCCCTGCGCTCCTGGGCCCACCTGGAACTCCACGGCTGACATGATTGCACCGGTTTTGTATGCCATTTTGAATCGATGGTGGAGCCATGACACACCCTGGATACCAGTTTCATGGCGTTCTGGATGGCTACAATTAATCCCTAAACCCAATAAGCCACCTGTTAGACCTGCTAATTTAAGACCCCTAGCAATGATGTGCCCACTGGGCAAAGCTGTCATGGGCCTGCTGATCCAAATGGCCTCACGGCAAGCCGATGATGAGTTCCGCCGATGGCCGATTTGGGCCTTCATGGCCCACCGTTCGACACAGGATCCACTGGCCAAAGTTGCCTTGCATTGCAGGGCTGCGCGCCAACTGGTGCTTTCCCAAAGATCAACCCCACACTCCAGGGCCATGCAGACACACCGCATGCCCATATGCGGTGGCTTACAGGTGTTTATTGATCTGGAAAGGGCCTTTGACAGTGTCAACAGGGTTAAGTTATTCCAAAAACTCTCAACCCTGGGGATTGATTGCAACATCACACGCATCCTGCATTGCTGGCATGTGGACACTGCATATTTTGTCTCCCACGATGGCGAAAGCGTCCCTGTACAGGTGCAGAAAGGCCTGAGACAAGGGTGCAAGGGTGCCCCGTTCCTTTGGAACAGCCTCATGGTATTGATGTTACACGAACTCCAGACACACCTGCCATACACATGGATCTGTGATCATCTTACCATTTATGCAGACGATTGTCATATTGGTGGCTTGTTCACAAATGGGACGGAACTCGACTTTCTTCTCAGGGCCATTGGCATTTTGTTTACAACCCTTCATGAGTTTGACTTGAAGCTGAACCCGCAGAAGTCAGCAGCCATCCTTGCACTACATGGGCCGAAGAGCAGACAGACGCGTGCCAAGCTTTTGCACAGAGACCACTCAGGCGTGAAGATAAAAATCCCCATGCCAAACGACACACACATGCTGATTCCCATGCAAACACAGACAACATACCTTGGCTGCATCATGGGATACGGACAGTTTGAGGACTCCACGACTTGGCACAGAGTGAAGTTGGCATGGATCGGTTTCCAACGCCTGCGCAAATGGCTCTGCAGCAACCATCTTTTTCCTTTGCGGCATAGGTATCGATTGTGGAGAGCTTGCATTGTCCCTATCATGACATATGGAGTTTTTGCAGTAGGCACTACACCCAAGGGCATCCAGCACATGCTGACACAACTTGGCAAGATGACCAGATTGATTGCACGGGACCATGCCCATCACACTGGCCACACCAATGAGTTTGTGTATAGTCACTTTTCATTGCCGCGCCCGGCCGATGTGCTGACCACTGCTGCTGACTCCTTGTTGCAGCCAGTTGCCCAGAGACAACTGATCATGCGAGACAATGATATTGCGCGACGGTTGGATTGGCACCATTTGCTCACCATCAGCCAGTTGATTGAAACTGCCCAGGCCACCCTTTTGACATTGCGTGCTGAGACTGCTCTCTCTGGTGAGGTCCGAGGCACAGAATTTGCATATCACTGTCAGATGTGCCAGTTTGGCACCAATGACACCTCAGCATTCCGCCGCCATTGTACCACCATGCATGGAGTCAAGATGTTTAGGACACATGACACCACACTTGCATTGCATGCCACAGCCGGCTTACCCCAATCTAAGCATTGCAATTTCATTTTTTCAACATGGAGATCGTTTCGAATCCACATTGAACGTGGTTGCCAGGCGATTCATCTGGGCCCACCTCCTTGCGCTGGTGCCAACATTCGAATGCCACCCCGTCATGAGACCTCTGGATCAGGCCATGCACTGAGGGGCACACACCTTCTGACAACAGCTGACCTTGCCCTTCTGCGCAGTAAGCCTTGGGGTGACCGTGTTTTAAAGTTGATTGCAGATGATGCGTTGGAACGTCTGGAACATGAGCACGAGGCTTGCCAGTTTTTGTCGCGATGCTGCTTCTTGTGCGGGCTTCAAGTGCACCGTGCACAGGACGCTCAACTTCACTTCAAAACAGAACACGCAGAATATTGGACCCATGTTCCTCAAAAGGCGATTGTATTGACCAATTTGCATTCGGACACGCCATGTGTGCATTGCGGGAGCCCTTTCCGCACACACACTTGCTTGGTCTGGACTCAGATATCAATCATGATATTGCACGGCGGAGGACTGACGCTCTCCGACGCTGACATGCAGCCTGAACTGGTTCAACGCTGCGACATCTGCCATGAGGTCTTCCCAGATGCTGCTCGGTTGACTCAACACCTACAGCAACAACATAGGCTTGCTGGCATTTCTTTCAACGCAGCCAGAGACTGTTTGGACGCCCAGGCGGCGTGCGCGCATTGTGGAGCACCACATGCCTCCCTGGAAAGCCTTCGCAGCCACATATGCCAGGGCAGGTGCCCGATGTTCAACCCCATGGCTACATCGGAGACCAAGCCCATCACCCAGGCCATGTTTGACATTTGCATCCAAGGAGAGCTTTTCCAACAGTTGAGAGCGCCGATGACCAGGCTTCATTTGACCCTGCGTTGCTTGCATTGCCCACAGGTCTACAAGAGAGCATGCGACCTGGCAAACCACCTGATGTCCAATCACTCCCGCTTATGGAGGCAAGCCCAAGGTTTGACACTCCTGCTGGTCGAACTTGTTTTTGCCAGACATGGATGCCAATGCAACCCACAGATCAACCAGATCCGCAACAATCATATCTGCCTGCCTTTAAGGCAGATTGCCATGGCCTTTTGTCGAATGGATCCAGCCCCATTCATGCCGGTGCAGATCACGGAACAGGCCTTGATCCAAGTTGCACATCCATCCATTCCCAGAGACAAGCGTTTCATTTTGACACAGCTCCTTGCCAATCGTGACTTTCGAGCTCTGTGGACTCAACCTGAGGCCCTCGACATGCTACGCAATGCCTGCGTGCTATGCGGCCAGACCATCCAGACGGGCATGCTGAACCGCCACCTGCATGAGGCCCACCTGACTGGACATCAGTTTGTAGAATTCTACAGCAGCACTTTGCTGCTGCTTTTGCATGCCAGTCTCAGCACCGACTACAAATGTGACCTTTGCCTGCAGATTTTCAACTTGCCTATCACTGACCCTGATCTGATCGACAACAGTCGGCTCGAACTGGTTCAAACACACCTGCGTGGAAATTGCCCGGTAGCCTTGCAGTGTGCGTTGATCCTCAGCACCATCCTCAATGGAGGGCGACTCGGTGATGAATGGATGGGACGAGAGTTCTCTTGCCCAAATCCGAGAAACATACCAGTTCTTGACCCCCCTGCTGGACAAGTCACTCAAGCTGCAGCCGAATCCCAAGCCGCAGAAGAGTCGCAAGACGGAACAGCACCCTCGGGGCGAGCCAGCCGATCAAGATCAGCACGGCCAAGATCCAACACAGCTTCTCAGGTACCTGCAAGCCTTGGGTCAGCTGGCCCTCCGTCACGAGCACAACTGGAATCTGATGCAAAGCACAGATTGTTTTATCCTGTTCTTTCAGCAAGACCAGGAAAGTGCCCTCCAGGGACTGCTGACGGCGACTCAAGAGTGGCAACAACAGAGGCAATCGAACCCTTCGACCATGACCTCAACGCTGCGCCAACACCTGTGCCAGCACCTCCTGCAGGACCTTCTCAATCGAACGACGAAGGTTTCCAAGAGCAAGCCGGGGGAGGTCCTGTACCAGGCCTGTCGAGATCGCAACCTGATCCTGGAGGACATGAGCTGGCCTTATCTGCGATGGGACCCGACCAAAAAGAGCCTCACTGTGGACAAGAAGAAATCTGTGCAGATGAACAAGATGCTGGAGCACCTGACGGAGCTGATCGAGGAATTTCGAGACCCGACACTGGTGGTCCGATTCCAGGGCCTGAGCACCAGTCAAGCACAGGCCACAGTCCCATGGAAGCTACAGCTGAATCTGCGCAGCAACCGCCCTTACGACCTGATGAGGGAACTGACACACTCGTCAGTGTGGCTCCTGGCGGGCACCTCCCTGAAAGTCCATTCGATGCAGCAGAGCGGGCTGGCGAAGCAGGTTCAACAACTCCTCCCGTTGAACCACAAGAGCAAAGGAGCTGGGAAATCCAAGAGCAAGGGCAAGAAGTCACCGGAGAGCTGACTCCTGAGACGATCCATGCGCTCAGAGTTCTGGTGTCGCACATGACGCTGCGCAATGACACCAACTGGTGCTATGCAAACACGACGATGTATGGTTTGCTTTGGACTCTCCTGAGCCTCAATTCATGTGAGGCTTTTTCATGGGGGCCGCATTTCAAGCCACTGATGCAGTTCATTTTTGCCAGCAAAGACATTTCACTTGCGCTTATCCATTTTCCATGGTTTGTTCAGTTGCTTGAAACTTGGGGTTTCACACAAGCCCAGCAAGACTGCAGTGAGTTTGTGCGAGCAGCCATCCTCTGGCTTGACTCACCTGAAATCGACCTGAAATGGGAACGCAGATTTGAACATGCAGGGACCACACGTTGCCATGATTGCAGCCATGCATGCATGCCAGTGATTTTGCAATTTACACCACAGCTGAGTACCATGGATGTTTGCAAACTTGATGACCTGCTGCACCATTGGCACCAGGCAAATGGAATGCGTGCCGCCTTGCTTCGAGCAGCGCCCATAGTGTGCATCCATGTTGACAGACTGACTGCCTCCGAGACTGGCCAGATCGAGAAAAGCAGTTGCGCGATTGAATTGGATGCAGAGACAACGATTCCTGTTTTCAATGCGACAGGCACTGATTGTGAACCAGTTAGTTACCTTCCAATTGCAGCAGCCTCCCATCAGGGCTTGGACCAAGCAGGTCACTATCAGGCCCTTTTGAAGATTCAGCCCACGGTGCTGTCTGCACATCCTGTGCAGTGGCTGCTGACTCAGGATAATCAGCAGCCGCAGGCATGCTGGGAAATTCCGACCGGCTTCCGTGAGAACCTGACAGTGATATGGCTGATCAAGGCTGACAATATCCAGGTTCCATTTTATGTGCCGCCTGACATCCAGGAATCACCAGTTGACTTGGAAGCGCAGATTTTGACGCTGCTGAATTCAACCGGACCTCTGATGAACATCCAGTGAAGTTGCGCCATCCGGCACTACGCAGTGACAGATATGCCTTTTATTTCTCCAACTTTCAAGCTTTCTCCGACATGACTGAATGGCACGAATCGAGAAGTGTACATTGCAGTTTAGGTCTTGGGTTTCAGCCACACTGTTTCCTAACAAGGAACCGGCATAAGCCGATGGCTGGCACGAACCTTTGCAGTTGAAAAGGAGTGTGAGCAAAAACACACACACACACAGACACACAGACACACACACACACAAGCCCCTTTGCCGCCGCGAGAGCGGCACTCGAGCCCTGTCGGCGAAGACAGAAGGAGCCATTTAGCCCCTCGGTTCATTTGGTCTCTGACACTTTAAGGGTTCTCTATTTGCCATAGCTGCTGCGTCGGGGACTGCATATCCTCTGATTTTTATTTACTGGACTTCAGTTGCCTTCACTCCTGCAGACATCCTGTCATTCTGTTTTTGACGTGTCAACAGATTTTGGGTACCTTTCAGTGAGTTGCATGTGGCATTTCTGGCAATTTATCTGTCTTGTGACTCTGACGGGTTCTGCAGCGGTTTTGGAACACGGTGATTTTTTGCCTTTCTGCCGTGGGGGCGCATATTCCGATTTACAGATCATAGTTTTGGCTTTGGCAATTTTGAACTCCACTCATATTGCGCGACGATCTCTCTGGTGGCCTCGACTCATCTTGAGCTTCTCTGAATTGGACACATTGCGCTACAAGTTCAACAACTTTCTTCTCGATTTTTTGGGCTCTACATTTACAATTTTGTGTGGCAAACCCGGTCCCAAGTCCGGGTGGTGTCAGCTGCCTGTTCCAAAACTTCTTGTGAGGTTGCTTCTACTTATTGTCCTTTTTGGAGCTGACATCAGGGGTGAGGGTTGTGGACGACCCATGGCGTCCACTGAAGTGCCACTTCCACAATGGGCGACAGATTTCATTCGAGATGGCACAAAGCAACATGGGACGCGGCCAGCACTTCGCTTAGCTCATCTAAGCTGGTCACCCACCGATAGTTTTGTGAAAAAGAGAAGCATGAAGAGAGCATACGCTCGAGCTTGTCGCGATGGAGTCTGCTGGTACAAAGGTCGACCATACACTCCGACTGACTTCCCCCAGACACTTCAGCTTAAAGACAATAGCACAGTCCTGTCTAAACAGCTGAAACCTTCTGGCAGATGTGATCTTCAGAGATATAATCAACGACATAGCTCGAGGCGCCGCATACAGATCCTGTCATGGAATGTTGGCGGTCTGTCCCAGGCACGCCTGGATGAGGTCCGTCTCTGGGCTCTGGAGCAACAAATTGGCATCACTGCCCTACTGGAAACAAGGTGGCCATGGGTCAGTGAGTGGGAGGACGAAAAATTTTTGTATGTTCACTCAGGTAAGCCTGGTGATCGCAGCTGTGGCATCCTCATTATGATTGCAAAATGGCTATGCCCGTCATCCAATCTGAGATGGATCGAAAGTGTCCCAGGACGCTTGGTGCACATGCAGCTGCGTATTCAACCGCGCCCATTGGACTTTGTGGCATGCTACCAATTTTGTTTTGCTCCTACCCAGGCTAGACTACAAGAACGCAAACGATGGTGGGATCAGTTCTCAGCACTTGTTGGGAACATTCCCAATCGACATGTCCTGACCATTGCTGGGGACTTCAACTGCTCCCTGCCTGCTGCACCTCCTCACACAGGACCGGCTGAATTTCACTGGGGACATGGCAGATCTGTAGGTACACAACATCGGGATCATGATGTCTTTCTCAATTTGGTTCGCACTCTGAATCTGAATGCATTGAACTCATGGGATCCCAAACTTGGACCTACCTACATTAAAGATCAAACCTGCAGTAGGCTGGATTACATTCTTGTGCGTCAACATATGGCTGATGGGGTGGCCCGTGCAGTCAGATATATTTGGCAGGCTCCCTTTGTAACTGCATTTCGAGATCACTGTCCGATGATTTGTCAGATCAATAGGTACTGGATTCCAGCACCCCTGACCTCTGCAGTTAAAGGGTGTACAATGCAACAGCGGGCTGCTGGCCGCTCTGCGTTTTTGGAGGATTCTCAGCTCTGGCAGACATACATGCAGACTTCTCGAGAGCAGCTGCAGCGTTTGATTCCCCAGCTTGACCCTCACAGGGATGACATGTTTTCTGATCTTAATCATGTACTGCTTACTGCGTTTCATGATACTTTTCCCACCAAATCCAAACCATCTCCAGCAGTTTGGATGGCATCACAATCCTGGATCACATCCAAGTGGACACATCGCAAGATGCAACATGCTTTGATGGACTGTATGAAACAAGGTCAATTGCATATGAAGACGGTCTTTCAGTTTTGGTACCATGTTACGAGGTTCAAAGTGATGACGAAATCGCATCGACGGCATGCACTTCTTGTGCGCAAACATCGTTTTCAAGAGGTAATTCAATCAGCACAGACTGCGGCAGAGCGACACAATATTTTTCAATTGTTTCACTTAATTAATAGTTTTGCCCCAAAAACCCCCAAAAGGAGAATGCAGCTTCGGACCATTCAAGGCTCTCTTGCGACACCAGTTGAGGAACATGCCATCCTTTGTCATTTTGTTCAGGAGGTCTGGAGTGGGGATCCATTGACAGATGCACATCCACACGTGATTCCAGGTACACCTTTCACTGAAGCTGATGTACAGCAGGTCCTAGAGAGCATACCGCTCACAAAGGCTGTGGCACCAGGTTTTGCCCCTGGGGTTCTGTGGCGTTCCCATGCATCCAGTCTGGCATCTTGGCTTTATGGTATTCTCCAGTGTTGGTGGTTTTCCCCACAACCGTATATACCCCCATCCTGGAAAAATGCATGGTTGTGCTGGCTTCCGAAACCGGGGAAACCCCCCACATCACCAAGTGCCTTGCGCCCAATAGCCCTTCAAGATCCTGTAGGCAAGGCTATGATAGGACTAATCAGTCGACTTGGTCAACAAGACTCATTGGACTCCATGATCTGCTGGCCTCTTTGGGCTTATCTCCCCCATAGATCAACCCAGGACTCCCTTCTTAGAGTTACCCAACATTGTCTTGCTGCCAAAAATTTAGTCATATCAAAAAGGTCATCCCCTCATACACGTGCCAGACAGATGCCCAGAACTAAGCTGTGTGGAGCTGTACAGTTGATGATAGACATGAGTAGAGCGTTCGACACGGTCGATCGCAACCGTCTCTTTCACAAGCTGCACACGTTAGGGGTGCGCCCTGAGATAGTCAAGATCCTCACATACTGGCATCAAGACACTTGTTACATTGTCCAGACCAACACCATGACCACTGACATTCCAGTTGCTCGTGGCGTACGCCAGGGGTGCCGTGCGGCACCCTGGTTATGGAACTGTATCATGACCCTTTTATTGCAAGACTTGTCGGTCTATATAGATCCAATCTGGCTCAGAAGGTGCTTCAACCTTTATGCGGACGATTTGCAAACAGGAGATCTATTTCATGATGAACAGGAGCTCATGCAAATCTTGAACTCATTTGCCACCATTCTGGCCATGTTGTCTTCATATGGTTTTCAGATCAACGCAGCAAAATCACAGATTCTGATCACTATGACCGGGTCTTCCAGTTCCAGGGTCAGACAACAACTGTTTGTGCGGCAGAATGGGACTGACATGCTGCAGATTGAAAATGAGCAACACTCCTTTTGTATTCCAATTGCGACAAGTGCCAAATACCTGGGAGCGGTGATCAGCTACACCAATTTTTCTGACTGCACGGTGCAACATCGCATTCGGTTGGCTGAGATTGCTTTTTACAGACTCCGAAAATGGCTCACAGGCAAACATGGATTGGCTCTCACGGACAAGATGAGACTTTGGCACACCTGCGTCAAACCCATTGCACACTATGGGATTTTCTGCACAGGTCTCACTACAAAAGGCATCCATTTGTTGAACACGATGACCACGAAAATGTTGCGTAGAATTCTACATGATCATGCCTTCTACACCCATCACACCAACCAGCAAGCTTTTGAGCACCATGACCTTGACTCACCGACCTTGATGCTATGGCGCAGTGCTGACGGCTTGTACAAGTCAGTAACCCAGAGATGTCTTACCTTGCGGGCTCATGACATGGTACACACACTGGATTGGTCTTGCTTACTTGACGTGCAAGCACTGCTCATGGAACATCAATGGACAGGTTCACAGCAGAGCCCACTGCCTTTGATCACAATTGACAAGGACTTCAGGTGCCAGTGGTGTGATTTTGCGACATCCCAAATTACCACACTGCGCAAACACCTGGCCATACATCATAAACAGCACTTTTACAGAACCCAAACTGTCAACCCAGCTGACCATATGTTGCATGGCCTCCCTCAATGTAAACATTGCCACCAGATTTTTACCACATGGAGAAGCCATTTGATTCATGTTGAGCGTGGATGTCAGGCACTACAACATCGAGATCTTTCATCAACCATGCCGTTACTGCCAACGAGCCTGACAAATGCCCGTGCAGATGCAGCTATGCGTGGACAGACACAACTTGGCCCAGGGGATCTCAGGAACATCATTGCTCAGGAATGGGGACATAGACTACTCACATTGATTGGATATCGCCGATTTCATCAATTGATTCATGAGGATGCCATCAATGACTATCTCTCCCAGCGATGTTGCCTTTGTGCCCAATGGGTAGGTCGTGCACAGGAAATGCACAGACACCTGAGGCTATTTCATGCCCCTTACTGGCCGATGGTGATGGCAAAGAGCACTCAGCTGTCGAACCTTTATGCTGAGGATTCACCATGCAGATTTTGCCGTTGCATTTTCAAAACCAGTCATTCCTGCAACACGTGGACACAGGTTAGTCTCTTGCTAATCTATGGTGCTGGCCGATTGACTGATTCCAATGTTCCATGTTCACCAGCCATGCAGTGTGAAATTTGTGACCAACACATGGACAGTGCTGAACAGTTGCACTTGCACTTGGTCAATGACCATAACTTGGCCAGCGCTCGTTGGAACCCCAGCAGGGACTCCATTGATGGAGGATCTGGTTGCGCACACTGTGGTACCATCTTCAGTAGTTTGGAGTCACTGAGATCTCACATTGCTCAAGGCAGATGCAGGAGCTTCGATCCTTCCCTTTCTTGTGAACCCAAACAGATCACTGAACTGGTCAAACAGGCGCTCACTCAGGGAGGTCTCACTGAAGCCCTGCAGAACTCTCACTGGCGTATGCAGATGACGCTTCACTGCCAAAACTGCAGCCACACATGCACTCGGGCAGGTGACTTGATGTTACATTTGCGCAGTTGCCATCCCAAATTGTGGCAGGACTCCATTCAATTGACGTCCATTCTCATTGGGATGTATTACACGGCCTGGGGATGTCTCTGCAATCCAACCACAGCTGCAAAAAGGCTCAATCATGTTTGTGTGCCATTGAAGCAGCTTGCTATGCAATTTTATAGGCTTCCTCCCTCCAGTGTTTTTTGCCCACTTTTGGTGACTGAACAAATGCTGGCCAAGGCGTATCATCAGAACCTTCCCAGAGAACTCAAATTTGCCATTGATCGTACCATGATCATGCGAGATTTCCAGTTTTTGTTGCGACAACAAGACATGATGAGACTGCTCACATGCACATGCATTCTCTGCGCCAACACCTTCACTCCGACGGACCTTGGCCTACACCTCAGAGAAGTGCATGATTGCAGTACAACACTCATATCTTTTTTTGTCCAACAATTGCTGCCTGCGATGCTGGAATCCAACTCAATGGGCCATGCGTGCGTACATTGTGGCATGATTTTTGACATACCTCTACATCTGCAGATTGGTGATGGCAATGATCAATCAGCGCTTTTTGACAGGGTGATCTTGGCTCAGAACCATTACAAGGCACACTGTCCTGGCACGCTGCAGCTTGCCATTGTCCTGTGCCGCATCTACAATGATGGACGACACCGCCATGACGGACAGTATGGATGCCTCACAGCAGGTTCTGGCGGCATTCCAACAACTGGCTCCCCTGATGGGTGTGAAGATGGATCCAGATCTCAACCTGCAGCCCAATCCCAATCAGCCGAAACGAGCCAAAAAAGACGTCGTACCGGCAAGAAGGATGGTCAAGCAGGAGGAGGGAACTATCAACCTCCAGGAGACCATTCTGTTGATGGCCAGAATCCTGGTTCGACACGACCAAGCGCTGCAGGAGGCCCAGAGAGAAACAGCCTTCCTTTTCTTTTTCAACAACAAGGCGCCAACCGGGTCACTGAAGTGTCTAGTGGCAGCGGCGGAACAATGGCACCATCAGGCGACACAGCAGCCACGCCCAACACCGTGGCAACCGCTCCGCCAGAGACTCTTCCAAGCCTTGCTGGAAGACCTTCTGACAAGGCTGACCCAGCTGGGGGAATCAGATCCGAACTCACCACTGGTGAAGGCTGCCCAGATGAACAATGTCCTGTTGCCGGACATGACATGTCCATTTTTGGAGTGGGATGCAACGCAGAAGAAGCTCAAGGTGGGCTCCAAACCTCCGATCTCTCTGAAAAAGATGGTGGAGAATGTGAAAGAGCTGATCGAGATGAACACCGAGGTGAGCCTGGTGCAATCATTCCATGCCCTTCCGATGACCGGAGAGACGACTCCCTGGAAATTGACTCTCAGCATGAGGGCAGACAGGGAGTACTGGCTACTTCGAGCCATGTGCGGGTCCAGCATATGGGTGTTGATGGCAACCAGTCTCAAGGCTCACTCTCTGAACCAAAGCACACTTGCACAGCAGCTGACCAAACAGTTGAACCTGAAACCACAGAAGGGCAAAGGGAAGGGCAAGCAGAAGTGATTCCGCATGTGACCTTGGACCCGCAGCTGCGCACCAGGCTTCTGGATGTCCTCTCCCATGCGACATTGGCCAATCCAAACAACTGGTGCTTTGCCAATTCAGCGTTGACCTCCTTCATGTGGTGTACTCTGAGCCTTAAAGATTTTGATTTGGGCTTCTGGGGCAAGCATTGCAATGCATTACATGAGTTTGTTGTCAATTTGGAAACCACCATGGGCAATCTCTCAGGTGAAACCTGGTTCAATGATGTGCTGCAATGCTGGGGTAGACAGGAACGGACCACTGCTTTTGGTCCCATCTCTCAACATGATGCGGCTGAGTTCATCGGCTCATGGTTGGATCAGCTTGGGGCGCAACCGTGTGACATGCGATGGGAAAGAAGGATTGAAGCTGATGGCATTGCACATAAGGTGGATGAAAGCTCAGCCACTCTTCCCTTATTTTTGCAATTCACAGAAGTGCTTCAACAGTTGCCCAGATGCTCATTGACTGATCTCTTTAGGCGCTGGCATCAACTGGACGGCATGAGGGCGGCTCTGGTGCAGCCCTCTCAGGCGCTGTGCATCCATGTAGATCGATGTACACAGGCACATGGGCAGCTAGGACGCTGTGAAACCATCATTGACCCTGACGCCGACTGTGTGGTCTCCATGTTTTTGGCACAAAATATGCAATGCGAAGACATTGAATACAGCTGTGTTGCACTCCAGGCGCACCTGGGCTCAGATCAAGCTGGACACTATAGGACTGCCTTGAGAGTACGTCCTACCATCACTCGGGGCACCCTGCCCTGCGCCTGGTTGATGTGTGACGATGGTGCCTCACCTGTGCCGGTATGGACACTGCCAACCTGGTTTCTGAGGCATGTAACCATCCTATGGCTTGTGCGTGGTGACAAATGTGAGCTGCCGGAATATGCTGACTCAACCCAGGACAGCACCCGACCGAGTGCAATTGAAGCGATGCTTGCACTCTTGCCGATGCCTCTGCCGACATAACCTGTGATGTGTCTCCTTTAGCTGCCATACCCCATCTGGCCAACCAGATGGATTTGCCCCTGGGCATCCCCCAGGTGTACCCCTGTCATTTAAAAAAAAAGGGGGGAGCACCACCAAAAGAAGTGCGGCCACCAAAAGATGCCACCCTGATGATGTTAAAAAAAAAAACGTCTCACAATGCCGGTCCAAAGCGGTCCACTCCCTTTGAGGGTGGCACCCAGTGACCGTTACATCACCATTTCAGATTTGTTTCTACCATAGATGCATGCCCAGACAAGGTCCATACACCTGATGCTCCATGCCGCCAGTCTCACAACAGTGTTTATTTCATTTGCATAAGCCTAGGCATTTTGCCTCCGACACTTTGGCTTGTTTCATATGTCTGCCCTTTGGCACAACACCCAGGCATTTTGCCTCTGCCAGTTTGCCCTTTTACTGCCTGCCACTTTGGCACAACAACTAGGCATTTTGCCTTGCTCATAGCCAGATGCAGTCTCATGACACCTTATGTAGTGTTTCCCACGGCATTTTGCCCGGTCGTTTTGGCATGCCTCACTTGCCTGCAATGTGCATGTGCACAGATGCCTAAGGACTTTTGCATGGGCCTTGGCTGTGACCAGGACCGACTGCTGCCTTCATGCACCCAGCCCCCAGGCTGGCTTGTCCCCGCTGCCTGGGCAACCCCCAGGTTGACCCCCAGTTCCAAGGGCCACCAAAAGATGCCCAAAAAAAAAAAAGGGGGAGCACCACCAAAAGAAGTGCGGCCACGAAAAGATGCCACCCAGATGATGCTTAAAAAAAAAACGATGCGATGTCTCACAATGGAACCCAACGAGGTCAACTCCCTGCGTGGGTCGCACCCAGTGGTTCATGCCTGGTTGACCTAACATGCTCAGACCGTCCACATTGCAATGCTGATAGCCGAGTTTTCTTCCTTCATGCCATTTTCACCTTTTTGCCGCTGTGTTGAAAGGACACGTTGGTGGGTGGCCAGATCAGTTCACTTCGAACCATCGCAACGTCGATGCCTGGCCGGCACGGACCTATTCATCAGAAAAGGCGTGTCAGCAAAAAACACACACACACTAGACAAGAATGGATCATTATATGATCCGGCAGGAACTGAATCCTGAAACATGCAAACCAGCCTAGATCGTTAGATTAGTAAAGGAGCCACATGAGGTACTTCTCGAGAACGATGTAGGGCATCCAATGTTGTCAAACGAAGTCAAAACCAGAATCCATAGAGTTTTAACCAGCATGTTGAGAATCCACAATAATGTTTCGGCAATTGTTTCCCAAAATAACCCAAAGTTCGTCGGCGACATGATCTCGGCGAAAATATGTCAAAAAATCATAATACTGTCGGCGATATGGTTTCGGCGAAAATCTGAGGAAGGTTCTGATGCATGCAATACAGATTGTGGCAACCGTGTAGATTCGAAACAACGCAGTGTAACAGCTTGATCAACAGTTGAAACCAAATTTTGCAGGTACACAGAGTTGATCAGACTCTGCTTCCAGCACAAGTGGATAGCTTCGTTGGGTGCAGTCTCCACTGTGCTCTGCACCCCCCTGCAAACTAGTGAAAACCAATCAGAAGTTTTACATCTGTTCAGATGGTACACACACACACCTCGCATATAGCGAGGTTGGATTTTTTGGAAGAACTTCGCTGGCGGAATCGGCAATACACCAGTGAGAGTGAACCTGTAAAAACCAAATGTACAAACGGGCGATCACTTCAGTCAGAAGAAGAAGAATTCGGAGCTTGTAGAAGGACTTCGAAAGCATCGTGGAAGCTCATGCGTTCAACCATCGCCCACGTCTCATTGAATTCCCCAGATGCCGTAGCAGCCTTCAAGGCCTCAGAAAGATCCGTGGCTAATTCGTGGATCCGGGTGGTAAGGCTCGGTTCCTCTGCTGGAGATGTCGTCTCAATGGGCACATTGTGAAAAGGATGGTGTCCGTGTACAAGGGGAATCTCGAAATGATGTCGCCAATAGTCCGCTGTACGTAGGGACCACTCCCAATTGCCCGAAAGACCATAAAAGTAGTGTTCAGGGTCACGACAGCGGGAATGCCCTAGCAAGGGGATTTCTTCAATGAAAAGCTCCCTGGTGTTGTTGGAGTGGGTAATGACCTTGAATTGGATCTGGTGAACCACGCGAGAAGAGAATTGAGCACGATGGAGGTAGTTGTGTGCAGAACTGACTCCATTGGAAACGGGACGCAAGGAGGTGCTGGTCCTGAATATGTATCAGGATGGGCCATAGTATCCGTGGCAGGTGCCGTACTGTCAGTGACCAAAGGTGCCGACGTAGGGTTGGTCGTAGTGTCGGGAGCTCCTGAGTGACATAGTGCAGAAGTCTGGGCGTCTGGTACTTGAACTGGATTGGTAGGAGCGAGTCCACGGGTAGGATTCGAAGGCCAAGACAAGCCCGCCACGGTCGCGTCTCGTTTGTGTTCCATGGGTGAAACTGTCACAAATGCGAGAAATAGTGCAACAACGGCTGAAGCATCAAGAATTGCAGAAAAAAGCCAATCCCGAAAATGATAATATTCACAAAAATGATAAAAGTGAAATCCAGTCCTCAAGCAAGTGGGTCAATTGCGACGGAGAAGCCACAGCTCAAAGTCAAATAAAATAGAAATCGAAGAATCCTGTGTGTTAGTGGGTTGTCAAGGAAGAATTGAAAACCCTCTAGCATGGTCTTTTTTGGCCGGCTAGCGTATCAGGGCAGGATCACACCGGAGCTAATTTTGTAGCATTGCAAACGTAGTACGAAAGGCTGTCTGGTACCCGGAATGAGGAAAGAAGATTCACGGGAGTTGTACTGCCGAAGTCGCCATTCAGGTCGGTATGCCTCCAAAAGCTGCAAGACCGTCATATCATTGGAAACTTGGAATGTCTCACCGTCCAGGTCGCAAAAGCGAAACTCCAGATTCGAGGGATCAATTTGGATGTCCCATTGGGACCTCAATCTTTTGGAGATACAGAAGCGAAGTTCGGCAATTGGGATGAGGCCGGCTTCAACTGGTTCCATCTGACGTGACCAGGTAAACAAAGCTGCAAGTTCAAAGCCACTGACATGTCTAAAATTGGAGTTCACCAGAGCCATGTAGTGTTCACGGTCAGGTTCGCTTCGGTGAGTCAATGCCTGTAGGGGAGAGAAGTCAACCAAGATAAGGACAGGTCTGTTTGGAGGAGGGTTCGCATCACCAGGAAGGCCTCGATGTCCAGCAATCCATCCAACGGTTCGTGTACCAAGCGGTGTCTCAATCGTGGATGTAGCGCGATATGGATTGGGTCGAGAAGAACGAGCCATTGCGTCGAATGTGAAGTATCGAGGATAAAGCGAAAAGCCCAAGCTGCAAAATGGGTTGGAATAGCCACAGAAACCAGCTCAAAGTGTTAGAAATGAACGAGAAACGGTGTACCTAGTAAATGGTCACACAAAGAGACGATGAATCACAGGTCTTTTTCCTGCCGACAAATAATGTGGTATATTACACACTTGAGTCCGACGTATCCATCGGGTCAATATCATTCGCATCCAGCGGACCATGTACTTGTTGAGGAGGGACAGCGGGGCGAGTGAGATGTACAGTACGTTGTAGTGTTGCCGGTGGGGAAGAAGGTGGTGTAGACCGCCAAGGTGGCCAATATAAAGAGGTAGTAGTTCCTTGAGAATGGTGTTGGGCAGAGCGTCCCCAGCATGACTGTAAAATATGGAGGTGGTCCGGTATCGCTTCGTACGGCTGTGAGACAGAGACGTTGGAGTGTTCAGGGTGTGGTAAAACGGGAACAGTAGTTGCCGTAGGGGAGGAGGATGATGATTGAATTGGTACGTCATAGTATCTGCGCCAATGGTTAGCTGTAGTACGCAAGGTCGCCTGGTCGTTGGTGAGGTGCATGTTCTCCAGGAATGTTTCCACTGGTTTCCACGTTTCAAGACCATCAAGTGTCCTTTCCACGATCCAAAGTTCATCTGAACGGTTAGACAAAGGATAGCTCAGCTTCTTGATGAAGACGGAGTGGACAGTGGTAGAGGTCGGAATCATTCTCGCTGCACGAGGAATATAGGATGCCGAGGTAGGATCATCAGGTGGCAAGTGTGAGGCAAGGCCATGTATGGATGTAGGTGGTGAACGGTGCGAGACCAATCGAGCAGGATGATCCGTGTTGGAGGTCATCATGTACGATCACAAGAGTATGATAACGAGAAATACTGAACTGAAGCCAAAAGGTCGTGGGGAAGGTCAACGATGAAGGAATAAATAACGAATATCACCCAATGGAAAACGAGAAAAGGATGACACAAGGGAAAATCAGAACCGGGGTGGTGGACATCATAACGAATGTTGGTCTTTTTCCTCATAGACATGAGCCGTGCCAAGATCCATCAAGACAGCTAATCACTCAGCGGCTTTAGTGTATCGGGTGGCCGTGACGAATGGGTGCCCACGTGGAATCACTTGAACATGTACAGCAAAGCCGGTGTCTTGTGCATCTGGATGGGGTGTCAGCAGCAATGGTGAACACTCACGGGTCGTGAAGGCATCGAGATGTTGATGAGTTTTCCATCTCGGGTAGAACCAATTCAAAACATCCAGAAGAGAATGAGGAAGGTCGTCAAGCATCTGAGCTCCTTGATCGGTGTCAATCATCATGTAGAACTCCGACGCTGGTAGGTGTATGGACCAGCGTTGTAGCAACGTGTCGGTGACGACGGTTTGAGGTCTGAAACGAAATGACTGCGAGCATAGTCCGGGTAGATCACCTTGAACGTCTGGAACAAGCTGTCATAGGTGGCCGTAGGAAGGTTGCCCGCGACTTTGGGGTTCAAGATGTTGTAATAAGGGTTGCGTACGGCCAGTTGTTGCATCGGCTTCAGGTCCAACTGGAAAATAACCGGTCGGTGAGGTGTCGGAGGCGAAGACCGGTTGGGTGGGTGCTGAAATGACGTAGAGCCCATAGCGGAAGATGACGTCCTGGTTGGAGAGCGTGAGCGTCGTGTAGGTGAGATCCTCTCGTGGGACATAGCTCGCTGTTGGCAATAGCGGTCCAGGTGAACGCGGAGAGACATAATAAATGGCTGGCGGGGTGTGTGATACGACGTGTCAGAATTCAATGGGACAACAGCGCCCATGGTTCTGAAGATTCACAAGAAGAAAATTCCCAAAAGGAAGGCCAACTGGTTGGTGAAACAGGAATACCGTACCGCAACGTACCTTTTCCTTTTGGTTCGCATATGTCATTGGTCAGCCAAGTTGGTCTTTGATCTTATTCCACATAGAGCGAACATCTTCTTCAGACTTGCCCATCTTGGTCGAGATCACCTTCCATGAAAATCGAGATTTCTCGTCAGCCTTCAGAGTGCGTAGTTTCTGTTTGTCTTCAGAGGTCCAGAGTGACAGTGGGCTCGAGGAGCGGGATCGGGATTGGTCACGTCGACGACGACGCTTGGCAGGAGCCTTTGGAGCGGATTTGGCTTTCTGTTTGCGACTTGGCGGTGATGGTGTTCTAGTAGAAAGCTTCGAAGGTGCAGGTAAAACATCAGGAGGCGGAGCAGCAACATGTTGGTGCGGCTCAGGGAGATGGGTTTCCACCAGTTCATCCATAAGTGTCTCTTCCTCCTCCAGATCCGGCGATGGGATGGGGGCATTGTCAATGAAGGCATTGGTCTGGTCCGAATAGTGTGGTCGTAGCCCATCAGGTTGATTCCATACGTCTGTACTGGGAAGAGGAGTAGGTTCAATGTTGGGAATGAGTGTAGGTGGTAGTAGCGCCATTGCTCGATGTAGTAGAAGGTAAGCATGGTGAACATCATGAAGAAATTGAAGAAACACTGGTTCTTGGATCGGAATTGACGTCGTAGGAGACGAGGAAGCCATGACAATGCGTCGAGTATGGGCCAACAAGTAAATGAAGCCGAGTTTGAGGGTAAGCCAGCTAGAAAAGCACTGTTCCGTGATCAAATAAATTCAAATAAGGTCCAAAGGGGTGAGACTTTCAGCAAGGTGTGAGCAATGAAACGTAAGCGCCAGCGGCAAGA